GCCCATGGCCAGGCAGGCAGGGACAGACTCGAGAGTGTGTGAGAAAAGCCAAAATCCACATACCAGGACCAAGCAGGGTGCCCCTCACTTATCCAGAACCGCCCAGGCCTGCCAATCACTTCAGTTGGACCAAGGACACTAGAGCTGCCAGCATCTCAGCAGGCGCGGTGCCAAGCAGGCAGGGAACTTCAGAAGGGCTAGGGCTGGGCACCGACGTAGCCCTTTGGCCAGGGCTGGGTGGGAGTCTAGGACTGCAAGGAGGACATGGCAAGGGACTCCTGGCGATAAGAGAGGCAGCCAAAGCAGGCTCTGTCTTCCTGGACCACGTCCTGAGCGAGCAGACTGACCGGGTCTTGGCACAGCCAGAGTGCCCTTAGCAAAGGCCAGAAAAATGCAGTTGGCCAGAACCTGCACTGACCTGATTAAGAGGCTATAAACAAAATGTTAAGGTTGGGATGGAGGTGGGAGGAGCCTAAGAAAGGAAAACAGAACACTTTAACTGCATAAAGGGACAGAGCATCGGACACGTGACGCAATCTAGAGGAAATGACGGTACAGACCAGGGATCTGGTGAACACAAGCCTTTGCGGGAAGAACTCGAAGGCAGCCGCTTGAAAGAGTTTTTGTCAGAGAAAAACAGACGTGGCAGAAGACAGCGGGGCAGAGGAACCTGGATGGGAAGACATCAACATGCTGGCCAATGGGGAGAGGGAAAGCAACGTGCTCTGTGGAGAGACTACTCCAAGCTGCCCAGTCAGATAAGACCGTCACCAGGGTAGGCAGATGACACAACTTAGGGAGAGGAAGAAAGGGCCGGGTGTGAGGCTTTCTGGCAGCCTGGCCTTGCTCCCCCACAGGGAGGGCAGCCCTTCCCTCTGGCGATGCAGTAGCTTCCGTTCTCTGGAAGCACACACCACTGACACCTCACCCACTCCCAAAGCTCTCTCTGGACACCAGAGCTTGCTTGGCCCCCAAGTGAAGCGAGTGGAAAGAGAGGGCTTCTACAAGACTAGTGCCTCCCCTGCACCAGTGGTGCACGGGGACCTGTGCACCCTTCGCACCTTCTGCAGTTCTCACACCGGCGAGATGATGTGAAAACGGACATCCCTGAGTGAAAAATGAGAGAACGGGGTCCAGGAGGTTAAGACGTGTGCCCAGGGCTACACAGCAGTCTGGATATTCCTGGGTTACGTCTCCTGGCCCGTTCTCCATTGAAAACGGCCCTCCACCGAGAACACCTCTGCCCTTGTATCTTCGCGGACTCTGAGACAGGGTTGGACACTGGGAGACACCAGAAGACAGAGAAGGAGGGGCATTTTTAAAATCTCTGCTCCCTTCATAAGGGGCCACCCGCTGTTTCTGTGCCAAGGTTTTTCCTGGCTAGGGCTCTCACAAAGTCCCCGCTGTCCCCAAATTCCTTCAGCCCTAGAGGTGGGGACAGTTTACAGCTTCCCGCTGGTGCTACACCTGTGATGACCCCTACCCTGTCCCTGTCCACACTTCTGCAAAGTCCCTTCCTGGAGGGCCTTCAGTTAGTACTGTCTGCTTGCCACAGGGTCTCCCCGGGAAACAGTGAATGCCATGAACCCCTAGGTCACATGCTGTCACTCCTTTGAAGCTACAAAAGGAAAGTACATCGTCAGCCCTCGAACAACTGGGCCAGCCCCCTGTTACCCTTAAAACAATGTGTGACACTAACCATTTCCACTAACCACTCACTTGGAGATGATGCCTGTCACACAGCGTTTTGCATGGACCGTGGCAGCATGTAAGCTCACCGCAAGAGCAAGAGGGAAAAAATAATCCATCTTCAGTGGACACGAGAAGTTCAAACCCATGCTGTTCATGGGTCTGCAGTTGTCTTTGGACACATGTGTGAAGTATATGTGGATTTCCGGCTCTGTGGGAGGGTGGTGCTCCTAACTCATCCCATTGTTCAAGGGTCAACTGTGTAATCATTCCTGGTGTGTGTGTGCGAGTATGTGGGGTGGGGTGGGCAGGACACATTGGGCAAGGGTATTCCAAGTCTGCCTTCATCAATGTTTCTGACAGCTGGGTCCAAAGTGTCCAACTGGAATCTCTTGTCATGCACTTTCTCTTTGGAAAGATAAATGGCTGGTAGAAAGATCTGAACTTAATAAGTCTTTGGGTGGTTTCAACTGATTTCAATCTGTGATGGGGTCTCGAGGACTTTGCCAATAATTGGCTTTGTGGCAGGTCTTATGAAACCAAGGACTGGGCCAGCCCGTCCTATAATAGCTGCTCCAAAGTCTGTTGATTCCAGAGACCTCCCCAGTTCAGAGTTAATAACTCACACCATCTACTCTAAACTTGTGGTTTAATCACATAAATCTGAGAAAGGTCCCAAGAGGAAAAGCTCACAACTTTGAAAATTCTTTAGACTTGCCTTTGGAGTTGAGCCAGTTCGTACTAAGCCGTTCACTCTGATTTACCCTAGAGCACAGCTTCTCAATGTCAGGTCAATATATATTGGGGTCAGATGATGCTTGGCTGTGGGAGGCTCTCTTGTGTATTGTAGGGCTTTCAGTGACATCCCTGACCCAAGAGATTTTGTGATTCGAGACGTGACCAAATGTCTCAACTGGTGGGCAGGAGTAAGCAAAATTACTCCTGGTTGAGACCCACTGTTCCCCAGAAATATTTTCATTACAACAGGCACAAACTCAACCTGTTAACTTTTACAGAAGGAACACTTTTAATCACCAGCAAAATACGGATTGATCACTCTAATGTGCATGCCTTAAAACAAAGCCCAGCTCTGTGCTCGGATTTGTCAAGTAAGTTGGGGGGTCTAAGTCATCCCTTAAGATGAAAACCATACATAGTCAAAATTATCTCCCAAAGTCGCTTTGGGAGGTGTTGCTTTTATAGATACCATATGGATCCTACAGAATTGAAGCGACTGTTTACAGTAAGCTTTGATGCAACACCATAGGAAAGAGTGAGCCTGCAAGCACGGGCCATGTTAGCCTCACACACAATTTCTTAAACTCTCAAATCACAGCTGATGCAGCAAGTTGTTCCCACTACAAAAGGCACATGGGAAAAATAATGGCCCCAGAGAAAACAGACCCCTGTTCCTTATCTCATGGCAACTTGGGGACATGCACTGGAGGTGAATGCTAGTGAGATTATCAATACTACAGAAATTGTCATTTCTACTTCCTTCCTTTGATCCACGAGAACATGATTATAAGTGAGTTCATCTGATTAAACATGTATTTGATATGAAGCTGGGAAAATTGAATGAAAAGATAATGGCATTTTTTTCCACAATATTTTGGAAGCTCCCTTGTGTAACTCTACTGTGGACAAGCGAAACAAGCCAGTTTCAAACTAATTATTCTAACACTGATAAGTCTATGCATTCTATTACACACATACACAGAAAATGAAAAGCAGTGGAAGATTATGGTCACATTCATTCTTGAACCATCATCTTGAGCCCAGACCGTGTATCCTCACACATCAAGCCAGGTCTTGACGGCTTTCGTAAATACCTCCTCCCAAACCAGAGAAAGCATTGCTTGTCTTGGTTCAAACAGGGCCACCCAAGACTGATCCTAATACTCATTGATCCTTCCCCTCCCAATGAAGCTAATGGAACTCCTGTACTCTTGTGAATTTGGAAGACAAGCCTCCCCTCGAGAATGAAGACAGTGTCTAATTCCACACTGACAATGCGTTTAAGTGTGAGCTCTTGTCAAGTCCCGACATATCAGTGACATCAAACTGCTCCTCTGAGAAAGATTCACTAGCATTGAAAGGGACAGTCCTAAGTACAATCACCTAACAAGTATTGATTGACCTTGTGTTTCTGGTATGTGTGTTTTCTTTTTTCTTTTTCTTTTCATGCTGAGGATGTAGTGTTATTGTTAGCTGCTGCTGAGTTGGCTTCTGACTCACAGTGACCACATGCACACCAGGCACAGAACACTGATCTACAGGGCTGGTGTTTCACTGGCTGGTTTTCAGAGACCGCTCACGAGGTTTTTCTTCTAGTAGATCTTAGTCTGGAAGCTCTCTTACAACCTCTTCAGTATCACAGGCAGATCTTTGCCTCCACTGACAATGGGTTCTGGCTGCACATTTGGGTGCATCGGCTAAACATCAAACCCAAGTCTCCTGTAGGGAAGGCAAGAATTCTACTACTAAACCATCAGCGCTCATCAGCACCAAGTTCCTCTAATTTATATGTACTAATGGGACTAGGAGCAAATCTCATTCATTTAAAAAGTATTTCATATGCCAGGCACACTGCTAGGTATTAGAAACTTAGTTGTGAAATAAAAATAAGAACAACAAAGCTTCCCTAAAATATTTTTCAAGCTAAAGTGACTTCTGAAGTTATGTTGAAAGGATTTTATAAGATAAAAGAAAAAATAATGCCTAAAGAAAATATTAGTTCGTCCTACTAGGCAACTTTGACCAAGTACTATGGAACCAATTGGCCTGAGATTGGGGTCTGACTCCCACTCCCACATTTCAGTTCTCACCCTGAGTGGCTCTCCCTTCCCTTCCCTTACACCTGGTTCACCTACAGATGTGGCTTTCCATTTAGTCAGCAACCCAGTGCATCCATACTTATTTGCAAATTTATTTCTAAAGGAATAGATATCTGAAATTAGAAGAACATTCACCTAAAACCCAAACCAAATCATAGCAAGCCTTATAGGGCAGGGTAGAACGAAGTGCGCTGTGAGTTTCCTGGACTGTAACTCTTGATGGGAGAGAAACCCCATTTTTCTTCCTCAGAATGGCTGTTGATTTTGAACGGCTGACCTTATGGTTCGCAGCCTGACGCAGACCACTCTGCCACCAGGGGTGGGGACTTCAAAGGCATTCGAAGCCAATGAAGTCGGGTTGTTCTGAAGCAAAGATGGAAAGGTGTGAGGACAGGGACATCGGATGGCTGGAAGCTGAGCATCGCAAAGAGAATGGAGGAGAATGTGAAATGGTGTAAAACATGCAACCCGTGTGCTCACTTCGGCAACACATACTAAAATTGCAACGATACAGAGAAGATTCGCGTGGCCCCTGCGCCAGGATGACACGCAAATTCGCGAAGCGTTCCCTATTAAAAATTAAAAAATGCAACCGTGTCTCGGAATAGCGTGGGTAGTGATTGTTAAAAGGAAGCTTCCTTTTCTGTGTAAACTTTCACCAGAAACCCAATACATCAGACTTTTAAAAGAGCTTTCATGGCTGAAAATGCTCCACATGTTGCATGGGATTAGAGATGCACGCACATCCATTAAAGTCATGAGTCTTCCTCCTCTATGATTTAGGTGACATAGTGCGATGTAGGATGGGCTGCTAACTGCAAGGTCAGCAGTTTGAATCCACTCCGAGGAAGAAATTTGTGGTTTTCTACTCTTTCACCGATTGACAACCTTGGAAACCCAGAGGGACAATTCAGCTATGTCCTATCGGGTTGCTATGAGTCTGATTCGACTTGAGGGCCGTGAGGGAGAAACGAGTTCCGTACTGGTCTGCTAACTACCAAACTGGCAGTTCAAATTCCCCAGCCAGTCCTCAGAACGAGGACGAGGGAAGCCGTTCCCATAGAGATGGACAGTCTCAGAGTCCCTACCACACAGGACTACTATGAACTGGAACGGATTCAATGCCATGTCTGAATTATAGATAGAGATGTAATTGACACTACAAGATGGTTATTATTTTAGGGATGGGGGTGATGGGTGGTATTATAGTTAGATTTTCAGAAAGACACAGCCTCGACTTATTATACCAACTATCTGCACAAAGGAGCCCTTGCGGTGCAGTGGTTACGAGTTGGGCTACAATCCAAAAGGTCAGCAGCTTGACCCCACCAGTGGCTCCTTGGGAGAAAGGTGGGGCTTTCTGCTCTCGGAAAGAGTGACAGTCTCAGAAACCCACCGGGGCTCTTCCACCCTGTCCTACAGGGTCGCTATGAGTTGGCATAAACTTGGTGGCACATAGTTTGGGTTTTTCAAAAGTTCCCCATCATTTCTTCAGTCTGCAGAGTGGCCAGGGTAGCCACTCCTGTCTCCCATCTGTGATCCACATGTCAACCTCTCTCAGACTATGGGGGAAACAGTGTTCTCTGGAAATTCATGTGCCTGTTTCCTTTGATCATGCTTACTCATTCATTTGTTCATTCTTTCACTCGTAAAGCATTTACCACACGTCTCTTCTGCTCCGAGCCACAAAGGTGAACACAGAAGCCATTGAAGATGTCCAGACCAGAGATGTCAGGACCGATGACAAAGACTCGGGGGACAGAGAGACAGACACGGCTGACTTGCGAGAAAGGAGCAAACTGAAGCCCTGGTGCATGAGAGGGTGTGGGGAGTGAGCACTGAGGGAGGAGATGAGAATTGTGGGCATCCTTCCAGCTTAAACGACTGGACCCAAAGAGATGGACTTCCCTAGTCGAGGACTAGACTGTAAGAACAGGTTTAGGGAGGAGGGCCCATGAGTCTTTACCTGAATGGCTCTCAGATGGCACCCAGCAAGTCTGAAGTATCTGACAGATATTCATAGATGGAGATGCCTAAGGAGGCTGGATACACACCTGAGCTCAGGCAGGCCAAGCGGGGAGATAGAGATCTGGAAGGTATCAGCTTGTGGGAGGCAGCTAAAACCACAGGTGTGGTTGCAAAAGCACTGTAAGTGGGTGTGGCATGGTAGAGGGAAGGAACCCCACCACTTGGGTGGCAGGCAGTCACCGAAGAAGAGTCAGTCAAAAGACTGAGATAACTTGATGAGTGTGAGACACAATGGTGACGGGACAATGACGCTCCTGGACGACCTGAAAGAACAGTCGCATCTGAGCCGAGCTTCGCTGGATGCTGCAGGTCTCCATGCCCTGGCCGTGGGCAGACAGCAGGATTGCCAAGGCCAGGGAACCCAGGGACTCTCTTGAAAAAGTATAATTTCAAGGATGGAAAACCCAATGTGTGATCATTTTGCAGGCATTGGATCGCTGTGTACAAATGCATTCTAAGGAGGGGGGTGGGGGGAAGATGCTGAGTCGCAGAACACAGACAAGGATGCCGGAAGGAGCCAGAAAGTCATTCTTTTGTGCTGTCTGCAGGCCGAAGTTATTGCCTGGAAATGCAAACCACCCCCAGGGTGGAAGCATATTCATCCTCACAACAAGCAGAGGCCTCCCCATTGTCCAGGGAGCATTCACCCAAGAGGCCCATCCGGGCACCAGGTGCTGGAGTCCCTGTCTGGATTCAGATAAACCCATGCTCGCCTGCCCAGTGCCTGGATTTAGACGGGGGTCTTGGAGTTCCCGATGTTCTTTCTTTGTTGAAAAGAGAACACACAAGCTACCTGCTGTTTAAAAGGTCGACTTGTTGTTTACCCGTACACGTATTTTACGATGGAAACTGGGCAATACAGGCTGGGGAAAAAGGACTGCGATCCAATGTTGGAGAGCAGTTCTTCATGGTCTCTTAGATCTCTGTTATCTCAAGAGCGGAAGGACGCACAGCCTGTGTTCTGCGTGATCTTCCCGTGGCTGCTTGAATAGCAAATCGCCCTCGGAAGACAAAGATCATGTCTCCCTCCAGAGCAAAGAGATAGCTTGTTTGCTGCACAATGACCCATCCGAGTGGACTTCCAAACGTTCGTGGAAAGTGGGCCTGAAGTATATGGAACTTTTCCGTGAACTTTTTGAAGGGAAAAGGAAGGCATTGCTACTGCCTAGGATAAAAGCTTTGGCTTCTCCAAGTTGAAGTTCCTTCGGCTCCTCCCAGGTGTCACTTAGCTCTGTTTGCCTCCCCCTGCGGGAGCTGGAACTTGGAGAAACAGCATGAATGCTGATCATCTGGCTGCTACCATTGCTATGGTAACCCAGTCCTAGGTCTCTGACCCAGGAGTTCTGTGTCTTCTGCCAATGTCTGCGAAACTGCAGCAGGCTCACTTCTCAGCTGATGAGTAAACTGAAGTCTCAGGCTCTCTGCGATTCTTGACATATGACAGCTGTTGAAAACCACCGGCCTAGGTCGTATGATGTCCATTTTATGCCAACTTCCCTGATGCTACTCTGTGCCCTGGATTTACTTAAGGCTTATACATGGTCTGCTTTCATGAGGACTCGAGATTTGTAAATGTTTAAAATGCGGTGCCAGAAAACACAATGCAGCTGTGGTTCCCTACAGACTGGAAATGGAAGGGTTTCCCCCCACCCCATTCCCCAGCCCCATTTTTCTACAGACTGAGAATGTCAAGGCAGCAAAGCCAGTGATTTGCCAAGGCTCTCAATAAAGGCCCATAGCAGGTGTTGTTGGCAAAGCCTTGGCCTCAGGTAGGGTTCCTGAGAGATTGTCTAATTGACCATCTGGCATGAAGTAGTGGCAGTCAGGTGAGTTATAGAGAGGTGGGGCAGCCCTGAGTCACACAACCACAAGGAATCCAGTATCTTGCCAATTCATAAATTATTGGGCTGGAGGTGCCCAAAGCTTTTATGCAAGAAACCCAGCATGCACCAGGCTGATGACTGACAACAGTCCAGGGCTACTGGGCCAGATGGAACGAGGAGCCCAGATGTTTCTGATTGCAGCCATGTGAGTCAGGTAACCCAGGAGAGTGGGCACACAGAAAGGAGACTCAAAGCATGCTCTGTAACAAAGGTGAGCGATGCTCAGTCCAGGACTGGCAATGGTGATGACAGTCGTGATGATGAGTGGTTACTATGTGGAAAACAATTGCTCATTTACATGAATGGAGCATTCCATGAGACAACTAACTGTATATTGTACACTTCAGTGCCAGGTTTGGGACGCAGACGGTCATAGGAATGGCTATGCCTGTCGTCATTTTAAATGCTTGGATCTGAAGGGGGTTTCGGTAAATGCCTCGAGGTGAGTGTGGGGAATCGGTTATGCTGTGTCGGCCATATTTTATACCTCCAGGGCCAAACAATGAGACATTTGGAAACACCTAGAAATTCAAGCACAGGAGGCAAGAATCATTAACCCTGAAAGAAAATTCATACAGTAGGGCAAAATTTTCTAATGTATCACCAAAGCATCATTTCTGGGTACAATATGGACACAAAAGCTCGCCGTTATATTTGTGCTCGTGGCTATGGTCAGGGGTGAAAGTCACTTGGAAGCTCTTGATGATGCCTCCTTCTCCGGGAAAGGCCAATCTCTGCCCGCAGCCCAGGAAGGACCCAAGTATGACTGAGAGGGAGGGAGCAAGGAGAGAAGACAGTGCAGCCCACAGTAGTCAGCAAGCCCAGAACGCCTGCAGGGCCACCCCCGCCATCGGGTTATCCGATGAGGATTCCTCTTGCTTTATTTCCATCCCACAGATGGTCTGGATCTATTATTACCTGTTATGATAGTAAGTTACACCTTGGTATATTGATTTCACCGAGGGATGCAGAAAATAAATTAAAATCGAAGCCTTTGCCTTCGAGCCAATTCCCTATGTTACGGAGGCAATCTACTCCAGAGCGGTTTTGTTTGTTTGTGTTTGTTCTTTACTGGCTATAATTTTTATAGAAGTAGATCCACAGGCCTTTCTTCCATGGCACCTATGGGCGGGTTCAGCCTGCCAAGCTTCAGGTTAGTAGTTGAATGTGAATCATTTGCGCCCAATCCTCTGAGCCACATTGACGGACTTCACCTCCACAGAGACACACACGGAAGAAGAGCACACCCTTTGATCCGAGTAGTGCGAATAGTTCAGCTGTTTCTCGAGCCATCTGTGAGGTTTTGACAGTCATCAGGAAATGGACTTATGAGACACATAATCTGATGAACACCATCAGGGCTTAGATTGAGAATGAGGCCACTCAAAGGAAGGGATGAAGAACGAGGCTGAGCCATGTTTACCGCAACATTGGACAGACTCTCTCCATCAATCAGAGTGCAGTGCAAATGGGAGCACATGGGGATCTCTTTTTTCCTCCAAGGAGCCGCCCGGGGAATGATACACACATGCACAGAATGCCTGTAGTGTGCACAGGAGACTAACTCGAGAAGGGGTGGCGTGGTTCACACACAGCAGCCCCACATGGTGCGCACACGTTGTCTGTGCCATGCTCACTTCTCATGTGGGCCTGGTAGAGTCACAGAGGAAAACGCTCAGAACTTCATCGCTCAGTCCACGCAGTCTTGGGACAAACATCTGCCGCGAGCCACAAGAGGGCCAGATGGAGAAATAATTCAAGCACACATTGACTTGACGGTGGGGGTTGTGGCATAATTTACACAAAAGTTACAGCAGATTTAGCTGAGAAAGCTTTTGGCTGAAAGATCTGACTAGATGACATAAAATGTTATTGGTATTTTACCATTAGCCCCTTCTTCTTTTTAAATATTTCTTGTAAGGGGCAAGGAAATGTAGTTACTAATGTTTTCATGTCTTGTGCTTTGAAACCTTTTCCAGAATCTGAGTAAGGCGCTTTAACGAAAAGAATACACACACTGACCTTTGGGCCTGAGTTTGATAGATATTATTTCTCCCCTTTTTTGTTGGGGTGTGGTTCTTAAACGTAGGCAGCAGTGTTTGCAGGTATTGGGGAGTGAGATGGTGTGGCCATGGCCACAGCCTGGTCCCATAATTCCACACTAAATGGCTGAGACAGGAGCATAGAGACTGTGGTCAACCCCATGCCCACAGACCTTACGCAAGTCCCCCAGTGTCTCTGAGACTTGATAAACTACGGATCATAACATCTGTTCTATTTACTCAGATGCACAGCAAGGGATTAGATAGGTTTGGGGGCAGGTGGGGTGGTGTAGAGTAAGTATGACAAGAACAGAAGGCACATTATTAGCATATGATTCCAGAAGGTCAAAGAGTGAAAAAAGAGTCAGTCCCTGGCATGCTTGGACTATATAAAGTCAGGTGTTTGGGGCAGGACAAACATCTGGATGTGTGATCATACTTTTTATTCTTCCTCCAGATGCCGGGGCATTATAACTGTGAGGGATAAACAAAAAACCAAAAAAGAAAGGAAGGAAGGAAAATTGACTTTGAACCTTTGAAAAAGGGACCTGGTAGGAATAACAGACTATTGATTAGAAAGGAGTGGAGTGCTTCAAAGAACACTAGCAGACTAGGCTGAGAACAACCTTCCTGCCCAACCTAACTCTGCATTTCAGCCTTAAGGGCAAAACTCTCTGCATCTGAGGGGAGTCTCCCTCGGCAGTTCTTGGAGACCATCCTCTTAGAACATTTCTGTTCCCACATCTACAGATTCCACAAGGAGGCCTGGTAGTGCAAATGGCTAAGCAATCAGGGGCTAGCTGCAAGACTGGCAACTTGAAACACCCCCCCCCCACCCCCAGTGGCTCTCCCTGGACATGTGCTTTTGGAAGGATTACAGCCAAGAAAACCCTCTGGAGCAGTGGTCCTCTGCCATTCACAGGGTGTCACTATGAGTCAGAACCCAACAGCCGCTTCACGGGCAGTGTTATCATTTCGTCACAGCTTAAGACAAGGGAGGCAGAATATTTTGCTGGCTTCCGACAGATGTGGCTCATACTACACACATGATAAAGAGCTCTTTAAACTTCTCCAAGACCTACTATTATTTTTTTTGGCGGGCCAAGACCAAAATATGCCATAGCATGCAATTGCATCGACTGCAATGATGTCTAAATCCAGGCCCAGTATTCCTTTGGTGAGCTATACAGCCCTCATGCGTTGAGCCAAACTTCCCTCAGGCTCACTCAATGCCTTCTTTGAAGGAAAACAACCCTTGCCATTTATCTTCCTGAAAATGTCTGGGAATGACTTTGTATCACCCCACAATATATATTGTGTCTATGCCAAATACGACTCTGTTTTCTTGGTGACATTTGAAACATTTTGTCACTGGACAAAGCATTTGAGGAGCTGTCTCTTTACCACATCAAGTGGAAAGAAAGTCTAAGGTCAGCATGACCCTTGCAGATGCTGACAAGCCCCTCTGTTTGGGGGCTACCCTGGGCTTCCCCGTGCAGACCACCATTCTGTGAACGGTTGGACGTATGAATCATAAGCGTCTAAGAGTGCCAAGATTAAGTGCTGAACCACACAATTACAAGGGGAGGACTCTTTTTTTTTCTTCTTTTTCCTCTTCTTCTTTCATTTGGCTCTAGAAATACCATGACTTAGATCTAGCGATGATAAAAAGGCAAGGTTTGGAAACATTGGGCTCTGATAGAACAGTCTGTTTTCCTGATTCTCAGTATTTTTAAGACCAATCATTACTCATCTCTGGCCCAGCCATCTGCCGGGGACGATCTTCCATGGCGCCGAGCACTGGGGTGACTGGGCAGATGGAAAGCTGCAGTGCAGCCAGCCTGCTCCTGTGAAGGAGCCCTGGGGCTTGGAGAGCCAGGGGAGAACTGGATGGACGCTATCGTTCCATTACATCCAGTTCTGCTGAGGTCTCCGAGTTCTCCCTTGTTTCAATCAAACGCTGCACCATATTTAGTCAACACTCCTGGAGTGAAAGGCTTGGTGTGTCTGTTTTCCTCCGTTGGCTAAGCCTACAACTGGCTGCAAACCATAACACTCGATGATTAAACCAGACATGGATCGCTGCAGGGCTAAGCAACAAGCACTGAGTGGGAGCCTGGGTCCGAGCGCTGTCTTTTGCACTGACATGCAAGAAAAGGGACCCACTGCACGCAGGGTGATCAGGAAACCACGGATGGGTGAGCATGCAATGGACAACATTGTTGTTTTTCTCCCAATGGAGCTAAGGTGACAAGACATTTCACCAGGGGGCAGGGGAGGTGTTCTGTCTGCCCATAGCTGGGTGCACACATATACCCAAACATACCAGGTGCCAGCAATTTCCACTGTATTGAAATTTTTCTTCAATATTGAAGTTTGTTTTTCACTCAGGCCACCTCTTCCTCTTTTGTTGACTTTAATTAAGTCAATTCTCCATCAATACAATTTAAACCAGACCAACGGATTCCTTATGGCAGGCACAGTCAAAGGGGGGCAGGTCCACATAGCTACATCACAAAGCACTAAGCTCATCCTATGGGATTGCGGATTGAACGGCCAAGTCAGACTCCTATGATCTACAGTCATACATGGACAACTGCATTTGCCTTCAGACCGACAGCCCGCACACCAGGCACTCTTTTATTTATCCTGAGCTGCTGTTTCTGTCCTGGTCCCCACCCAGGAGTCCTTAGGGAACAAGCCTGCCTAATGGCAGGCCATCACTCCGCCCGCGCCTGCGCCCCCCCACCCCCCCCTGTCCCTGCACTTACCTTGGGGATGCTGAGGTGTTCTGGGGGAGGAGGGTGGTGCTGAGCCAACCTCCTGTGCATCTAGAGACGAAGGGCTATGACTTGCAGAGGCAGGGGCTGCTGGCGAGGTCAGGTCCAAGGAGAGGTCGGCTCTCCCCCGGCTGGCGCTCCGGCTCCTCAGTTCCTTCTCATGCGCCTCGGCTGCCAACTGCTCCAAGTATTTGTATCTGAAAGTGAAATTCCAAAGGGTTTCCGTAAAAGAGAGAGAGAGAGAGAGATGGAGAAAGAGAAAGAAAGAGGAACGGGTGGCGGGCGCTTGTTTATGGACGAACACCTGCAGAATGAGCCGGTTCCCTGATGCACCGCGCACAGCGCAGAGCCGACTGGAGGATCCGCCTGACAGAAACACGCCCAGCCCAGCCAAGATGCTGCTGATTAGCACACCCGCACCATTCATAACAGTGCAGACGCTAGGGGAGAGGCACCGTCACACGCACCCCCCGCCCCACCCTCACCCCGGCCTCTCTGGAAGAATCCGATGCTGCTCTTTCAGGTGACATCTGCACAAATATGCGAAGCAGCAAGTATGGCCATCAAATAGCCCCAGATGGTGACAGCTGAGAGGCAACTGCTCTGGGCGTCCACAGCTGTGCGGTGGGAGGGAGGGGCACCTCAGTGCAGTGCTGAGAGCCACTAGATACGGCGAGGGGCTGTTTGGAGCCAGTCACCCTGAGTTTCTGAACCTGCTTCACTGCGAACAGCCGTGCCCGGGAATTCACTTTGTTCTCTCAGCGTCGACCATGGAAAGTTTAAAAAAAAATTTTTTTTTATTCTCAAATATTTCTGAGTCGGACGCAGACATCCAATAGCTGGGACCTGACGTCACATGTAGTTTATTCATCAAAGTCAGTTTAAAAGAACAAAGATACATCTGTTTTGCATTTCAGGCAGGCAGAACCCACTAACTGTTTATTAAGACCAGCTACCAATCATCTTGCTCACAGCGCACTTTATAGAGCAGACCAAAATAACTTTGAAATGTGCGCTGCTTCCAGATGTCTGCTAATTTTACCCACCATTATTTGCGCAGAAATAAATTTACGAATTCAGCAGGAGCAGGTTTCTGACCATCTTGCCCAAAAATGAACTCTGAAACCACTTCGGGACCCTGCTCCGTCTCCTTTAGGCCTCCAAGCACTGGCCTGGCCTCCTCTCACCAGAAAAGCCCCCGGTTCTGGCCTTCCCAGCCTCCACCCGTCACTGGTCCTTAATCCAGTCTGATCACAGAGGCAGAGCACCCACTTAGGACCTTTAAGAACGCTGGGTCTAGAGCCCAAGCATCCTATCTCCTGTCCCTAAAGGACTTGTGTTTCCCCACATGTCTTCACCACTCCCTCCCCCAGGCAGCCAATGGCAGCCTGCCCTGCTAGTCAAGTTCACATGTGCGTCTCCCCCTGCAAAGCCGACCTTGACCACCACAGCTGGAGGTGATCATAGTCTTGGCTCGGAACTCATGTTGGATATGCAGCCCATTCAGCTCGGATGGCATTTTACATCGACTGTCTGGCATCTCCAAGCAGCATTTCATAGGCCCACCTCTGTGTTTTCAACAAGCAGGTGATGAGATTCTGAGAGCAAGAAGGTGGTCAGCCTTTTATCTTTTCCCGAAGCACCCTGCCTTTATCAGAGGTTGTTGGCCAACAAGCCCAGCCCGCGGGTGGACCTGCAGGCTGCAACAGCAGCCGGGCAGAGGCACCCGCTAGGTTTTCTGGGGTGGCAGCCTGCTTTCATGATGAACCCTGTGATGGCTCTGGGCTCCCAGACTCTGGTGGTGTGGGGCATAGCTGCTACCTGTCACACAGGACCACTACCCAGAGGGGAAGATGCAGAAAGCCTGTACTTGGCTGGCTGGCGACGTCAGCTCTCCAAGGCTAGGCAGGGTGGGGGTAAACTCAGGAGCCTGTTTCTGGAGTCTGCTCAGACCAGCAAGGAACACCCCCCCACACACACACAAACACACACACACACATACACAAACACCCCCCCTGCCATGCAAATGACCCAAACCATGGGACCTTGGGAGAAAGTGATCTTAGGGGGAAGAGCCGAAGCCTCAATGGCAGGCAAGTGGTAAATGGGGTGGGGGTGGGGGGCGCTGAGGCCTAGGAGGGGCTGGTGAGCACAGGGATTCCCATGCTGAGTCTGTCTTCGGCCAGAGCAGATGGGGGCGGCATACAAATAAGGGGCCCTGGGCCAGTACCAGAGATGGGGGCCGTGCCACAGGAAGGGAGTGCCACAGCAAAACCAGCATCCAAGGGGAGTGGCGGTCTCACCTGTAAGGCAGACCCATTGAAAACGTTTATCTTTACTGGCTCCGCCCAGCCCCTGCCCTCTACCTACCCTTTCTGGTGGGCAACTGGGGCTGGCCATTGCTGGCTGGCAGCCAAAGGGTTCACTTCAACTATCAGGGGTTCTCTAGGGATTGCTGATCCCAGAGTCTGGGTAGATATGACTGACAGGGAATGTCTGGTTCTTCCCAGCACTCTCTGTTCCTATGCAAGTCTTCTGGAGAGAGCATGAGGCAGAGGAAGCAAGGGTTTAACTTGCACTGCCCCACGGAGTGCAGCTACATATGCAGTGCACAGGAAGGGCAGGGGAAGGGGCCAGGCAGGTAGAGGTCCCCAGACTCCTGAAGAAAATCAGCTGTAGGGTTCACCTGCACTGGGCCGGAGTGGCGAGGGGGAATGGGATGCCAGAGGGCCGAGACCTGGTACTGAGAGCTCTATAGCTCAGCCACCCTCTGCTATGTCAGCCTCCACCATCCTTGTGGGGAGGAAGTCAGAGAGTGAGTCTCAGTGCCACATGCCCTCAAGGGTCCCTGGGAGCCCTGCAAGCCATGTGGTGCCTGAGAGCCCGCACAGACCCTGGGAGCAGAGCACTCTGGGTTTGCTGGCCACACACTGCCACCTCAAGAGGAGACTTTCCACCTATCTGGGCATCACCGTCATGTCCCCACACAGCCTTTCTCCCCCTGCACCATGTATAAGGTGACCAGATGTCCCGCTTTTGGTGGGACAGTCCTGATTTTTAACAATTTTTCCTGCGTCCTGCGGCATTTTTAAAAAGTCCCAATTTTTGGAAAGAATGCATGACAAGCTAGGGTATACGGTTTTTGGCTGCCATGTGGCTATTTCACCAGGATATGACTTTTATCAATGGTGTCCCCCTTTTGTCCCGCTTTACCAATGTTAATATCTGGTCACCTTAACCATGTACTTATTTGTTCCCCCTTTCACCCATTTATTGAATGAACATTTGTCAAGTGCCCGTCGTGGGCTAAGAACTGCAAGCATGGGGCACCTGGGATATGATCGTGAACGAGGCGCGATCCCACTCTGGGGCTGCTCAGAGACGGGCAAATACAACATTGGGATGAACTCAAGCGTGGGCTGGGAGGACTAGGGGGGAGAGGGGGATGGATAGGCAGGTTCTGTCTCTTCCTAGGGGGCCCTGTGAAACCCCTACTGTCGGCAGGCTGACTTAGCTAACCCTAAACACAAGCACTGATGACCCTGCCTTGCCACCGCCCTACTCAGAACCCCCCCTTCCCTCCTACCCCAACGTGGCTCCCTCCAACTTCGACTCTCCAGTCCTCAGTCCTCTGAAGCCAAAAAGCTGAGAGTCCTTTTATTGCTTCACAGACCACTTTTTGGCACAGTTTCCAAAATCCTAGCCCAGGCTCAGTCCTTCGCTTCACGCTCTGCCCCCATGACCCCCGCTTGCCGTACCCACGCTTGCTCTCCATATCCCATCATCCCCCCACAGCCAAGCAAATCCCCAAAGGGCCCCTCTGCCCACCCAGCTTCCCCACCCTGCCTGGATCTCCCTCTTCCCTCCCACCCTCTGCTACAACCTGCAGTGTACAAAAGCGGAATCAATCACAGCGTGAGCTTAGATGGTCATTCCGTCCCATAGCAGTGCAATGGTTCTCCTGGCTACAGGTGCAGGAGGCCCGCCCCCGGGCCCTCTGCTGTGATGATCCTGCTGTGATACAGTCTTCTGAATCAAAGGTAAGACACACGAGACCCAACACACACGCCCAGTGCTGGCTGGCAGAATGAATGGACGGAGCCCTCTCCCTGACCCCCGGGCCTCTTTCCACCTCTGATCTCCAATTCATCTTCCCGCCCATTCACTAATCCTGGTTGAGCTGGAAATCTGCTTTGACTTACTGGGAGCCTACTGGAAATTTTCCTGGCTTACTGGGAACCCCCAACAGCCTTCCAAACAAGAGCGAACTTCTCTCTCTTGTCACCAGGTCATTCAAGAACGAACCAACCAGGAAAAGAAGCTGGTCCAAACCAAAGGTGAACCCAAATTTCTGCATCCACAGTAAGGTGAGCAGCAAGGGAAGGACCCCCTCGATCATGCCTGCCCTGCACCAGTGAGGAAGGCCTAGGCCATGGGGACAACACGGCCAGGCCTATGGACAGGACAAAAGGCAAGGAGCGGCAAACTCATTCGCACACTCTTTCCAGGTGGACTGGGAGAATGCTTGAAAACACAGCAATGAGTCATACCCAGATGATGCTGGCTTCGAAAGGCGGGTAGCATCTTGTGATCATCTGGGCCAGCTCAGAACAGTCCAGTGTCCGGCACCCAGCTGCCCAGGGCGTCCCTGCCACAGCAGCTCCATGTAGGTATAACCTGACGGTTCACTTGTCAAAAGCCCAAAGAAATTCAGGTTCTAGGGAAAAAGAAGTCTACCCTTCTCAACTCAAGGACAAACACAGGTACTAATTAGTGACAGGGCAGCTTCTTCACCTGCCTTCTCCCCTCCCTGCCTGCTGGCCACCATTGGTTATGAGGACAGCACCAATCACAGTCGTGGGAGAGCAACGCCATCGCCTCCCCTTGTGCTGCCGACAGGCACACTTTTAATTGAACCCAGGCAATAGCTGCGCTTCCTGCAGACTGCCCTATTTGGTTGCTCTTGCCTACAGGAAAAAAAATAGCACAATTTCACTTTTCATTGGCCTGGTCCAGAGATTCTAAGGTTCACAGCTGGCGCACATATATTTAAAAAAAAAAGAAGAAAAAAGAGATCAGCCTTTTTCCTTCTCTCCAAGCAGTAATCCCATCTAGTGGTAGAGGGAGCAACTGCAGGTTGCCTAGTGCGAGGCAAAATCTTACCTTTTGCTGGGTAGACTCGCCAATAAGTTTCCTTTGCTTATCTACATTGATCACCACAAACACACACACACACACACACACTTTGTATGGTCACACAACAAACACACTAATGCTGAGTCTCCTATGGGGATTCAAACCACGTTGCCATGGAAGCGACTGTGGCAAGGCCATTTTAAATAAATTAAAAAACCTGACCGTTATTTATTGATTGATTTCACATCCTTTTGCTGATCACCTACCATGTTCCAAGCCCTGCGGTGGGCACTGTGCACACCAAGGAATGGTTTCTTCCGAACAAACAGGAACTGGGTACAGGTGGGGAGGTGGTGGGCGGGGCCCAGCAAGTGACAGGTTCATGCCTGTGCCTGGCACTCTGCTGGCACCCAGCCCCGAGGGTGTGCTCAGATGGCTGCTGAAGGGAGGTGGGACAAGTGGCCTTGGAGGCACGTGGCAGGGATGCCTAGCCCCGCCTCAGTCGTGGTCAGGGTACGGGTAGTTAGAAAGCACACCATATATCAGAAGGGCCTAAAGACCTACTCCCCCCAAGTCGGCCTATGAAAACGCTGTGGATCACAATAGCCGAGCCCCACCGTGCCCGCAGGGTGGCTGATGCGAGGGCTGCTAACAGCCACATGTACACTTCCAGAAGAGATCTGGGAGCGGTGACCCACACATGCCACACCAAAGCACGATAAAGCTGTGTTGTCCTGGGACATTTTGACAAAAAATAAAGCCACAAGGATGTTTTACTCTGCAAAATGCCAGTTACCCAAGGTCTCCGGTGTCTGAGTGGGAGCTGTTATGTTTTAATTAGTACAGTCTCTCCGCGCCATGCTTGGGTAGGAATGCAAAGTCACGTGCCATTAGGTGAGCAAAGGAAAAAAGAGGTGTACAAACCTTTCTTCTCGTGCTTGTCTTTGCTCTTCTCTCTTGTCTAAATATTCCCGGCTGATGGAAGGACACAGGGGAAACAAAACAGGGAAGGGCAGTAACATCATTAGCTGGGTCGAACATAGCCAAGAAATGACCTACGGTCTACCATGGACGCCTGCTGTTGCTGCAAGGGCACATGGTTAAAGATCAAGGCTAAAGTCTGTTGTGCCAAATACAACAGATTGTCCAGCCCAGGATGGTCTGCTCTGCCTCCACCCCTTCCCCTGCTCTCCCTACCCCCCACCCCACCAGCCTTGGTTTCGGTGCTGTAGTCGCTGCACACTCTTGGTTTGCGCAGTTGCTTGTGTCTGCACCCAGTTGCCCAGCTCTGTCCAATCGCAGCACGTTACTTTTTGTTACTGCTAGTCGGTTTACAGCCTGAATCTCAGATGGAAAGCTGAGTGGACAGGCTCCTCTCCTTGGACCCTGCATTTCCCCGAAGAATGCCAACATCTGAGTTCTCTCCACTGGACATCAGAGTGCAGGATAGGCCTTCTGCCCTGTGCTGCTCGCGGGGCTGGAGGTGAAGGGCAGCGAGTCAGAGATACGAAGGAAAGTGAGGCGGGGAGGCAGAAGCAGCGGCAGGAAGGCTTGGGTGGGTTTGTTATGAATAAACATCTGTCTTCATGACTAGAAACATGTTACTGTCGCCAGGAAGCTAAAGGCCATGTTTCACCACATAATGAGACACGGGAAGAGGCTCAGGGCAAATGCACAAGCAAGGCGAACGCGTCACCAGGTGGTGCTGAGTTGGTTTTGCTGCGCATTGACCTTACGCACGACAGAGCGAAGCCCTGCCAGCCTCGCCCTGTGCCATCCGCACAATCCTTCCTTACGTGTGGGCCCAGTGTTGCAGGCATCTGTGTGACTGTCTGATGCGAAAGGGCCAAGACCTTGCCCCTCGCAGATCACTAAGGCCTAGATCATGGATCAACAGGTGTATGATTTCATTTTTGATGACTCTTCCTTGATTCTTACTTTTGACGGTACATGTTCTCTTCCAATTATTAATGAACTGTTCCTCTTATTTTGAATTATGGTTTATCAGCAAGTGACGGTCCCCACAGCTTTGCTCCAACCACATCACTGAGGTCAGCTTCACTTTGAGGAGGCAGCTCTTCCTCGGAAGCGTTTTGAGGTTTTCAATGCCTAGCACTACTACCAGACAATATTCCAATGGCATTTACAAAGCTTTAGCTGTCTAATATGTGCAGCAGTTCTCCAGTTCTTTCTTCCTACTCTGCCTTAATCTGGAAGTTCTGCTGAAACCTGCCTACCCTGAGTGACCCTGCTTGATAAATACCAGTGGCACGGTTTACAGAATCATAGCTACATGCAAGCCACTGTAGTGTGACAAGCCTAAGGAATAAGCCACAGGTGAACAACTTGAACCACTGAAATGGCCTGTCAGGCGTTTGTCTAATTGCAGGAACTGAAGGCCCAGCCAATTGGGTAATTTCAGGAACTATTTTATGAATGAACAATTTTATGAATGAACTAGTTTATGAATGGAGTCAGACGTTGGGTTGCTCATCACAAAGTCAGCAGTTCAAAAACCACCAGCCACTCCTCGGGAGAGAGACAAGGTTTTCTCTCGCTCCAGTAAAGAGTTACACACTCAGAAACCCACAGGGGCCCTTCTTCCCTGTCCTATGGGATTGGCATGAGTCAGTGGTGGTAGTGAGCTGTTTTTTAAAACAATTTTACAAATCTTTCCCTGATTTCTGCTTGAATTTCTTTGCGTCCACGCCCCAGCTTGTAGCATGGTCCTGGAGTCAGCATGGCCAAAGAGGTGCTTATGGCCTGTCCTGACGAGCAGCATCCCTTCCCGGACAAGGGCCATTTTACCAGAGTCATTTTATTTGTAAATGGCAAATAAAGCACACTGGGGACCTCGAGTGAATGATGACCGGTTATAAGCACAGGCTCTGACGACAAACTGCCTGGGCCTAGCCTTTACTCTGCCACCTTCATTTTCTATAAGACGGGGCCATACGAGCATCTCCCTTCTGGAGCTGGAGTGCGAGAGAAGTGGGTTACACACAGAAGTAAGGAAAAGTGTCCCTGGCACATTGCTCAGTCCTGTGAGCACCAGTGCAGATTCCGCTTTGATTGCAGCCTTGCCCCGCCCTCTATAAGAGATGCCCCATGAACAAACTCGCTGTGCGTGCTGGAGTCTCTGCATTTCCCACCCATCAGAATCCATGCTGCTACCCCGTGACAAGATCTCCCAGAAAGCCACGAATCTAGAAGCAGTTATCCCATCCTTGTGGTTTTATAGGAAGCCCTGGTGGCACTGTGGTTACGTGGTGGGTTGCTAAGCTGGAGGTCAGCATTTCTAAACCACCAGCTACTCCTTGGAAGAAAAATGAGGCTTTCTACTCCCATAAAGAGTTCCAGTCTCAGTAACTCTCAGGCACAGTTCTAGCCAGTCCTACACGGTGGCCATGAGTCAGAATCGACCCAATGGCCATGGGTTTGGTTTTTGGGTTTTATAAACCAGTCTTTCCCAAACTGTCACAACTTCAGAAGGGCTCAGTGAAGTCTGACGACTCATGGACATTGGTGCAGCTCCCTCGCCTGTAGCCACGAGAGAGCCAGCATTCCACCCACATCCTCCAGGCATTTGCTTTCACATAGAAGAAGTGAGTTTTGGTTACAGCGGTTTCTAACTCAGCCCATGATTCGATCATTTCTACAATGCCACAGAATCCTGGTGGCTACTGAGAGAACAAACTCCCACGTTAGCAGTTCTCTGCATCTGCATAGACCCTGCTCTCCATGCCTGGTAGATTTAAATAGGAGGAATCAGTGGGAACGTTGTTGGACAGACAAATGGAACGGGCCTTCGCTAGGTGTTGGAATTATCTCGATGACAGTGGTGGGCATGTCTTTGGTCCCAGGAGGTGGTGATAGGGTTGAAAATGGAAAGAATGTGGATGCTCTGGAGGAGGAAGGGTGAGGCTATGGGAAAGAGCAGACAAGGGGATAGGAAGGGGGTTCTGGAAGAGGAGGAGAAAAGGGATGAATCAGGAAGACTTGAGCGTTCCATGGTCCATGAAGCCCAGCTCAACATGCAGGGATGGAGGGAGGCTGACGGAGAGGATGGGGAGAATGGACAGACATTGTTGAGATCAGGGGGACAATGGGCTGC